AGCTTCCGTTCGCTCTCACGCTCGATAATGGGTTGACGATGTTGGCTCTGCACCCTTTCTTACCCCTCCTCGCTCACGCCCTCCCCCTCTTCCTCGGCAAATGTCGCTAATCTCCGACCGTGAACCAACCCAGGCCCATCTCCACCCCCACCAAGAACGATTTTCAGAAGCCCGGAATCGACTCGAGCCAGCAGGGCTACGTCTTTGACGAAAATGACCGCACGCCGCCCTTTGACCGACTCCCCTTCTCGCCGGTCGGCATGCAGTTGCGCCCAGGCAAGTTCCGCGTCAAGGAGAACTCCCGCGCAAACTACGCCGACGTGCTCGAGATCGACCACGATGCCCAGGTCATGGTCATAGGCGACGTTACCAGGTACTTCGACCGCGTTCGGAGGAACGTGAACAAGGCCGTCATGCGACACGTCCTCAAGAAGGCGTTGGAGCAGTACCGCGAAGGCAAGCTCGTCGATAAGAAGGGCACGATGCTCGAGGCCAGCGTCGTGAACGGCGGCAGTCAGGACGACGACGAACCCGAGGGTGAGAGCGACCCCGACCATCCCGACGTCTTCCTAATGCCTGACGAGACCGCCTCCGTCATCGAAAAGCGACAGCCAGAATCCCTCATCAGCGCAGAGATGCCTCCCCCGCCCCCTCCTGCTCCACCGCTACCTCCGATGGATTCGCCGATGCCGATCCAGCAGCCTTCGCCCCCGCGGGACGATGCGTCTTCGATCCGCTCCTACGCCTCGAGAGAGAGGAGACATTCACGCAAGGAAGCACCTCCGCCGAGAGGCGAGGATCTCCCAAGGAAAATGACCGACCAGCACGTCGATGGGGCTTCCCGGCCGTACCGGCAACGCATCGACCTCCCGCGATCTCGCAGTCATCGCCATTCCGTGCACGAGACGGGCTCCATGCACGACGTCGCTACGGCCAGAGTGGACTGAAGTCCGACAAGGGAGGGAGGAAACGCATCTTTAAATCGGGCTTATTTTCCAGGAGGCTAAGCAGCGTTGGTCTAGGGCCGGTCTCGGGTGCCTGAAAAGAGGCTACTCGCTCCCATCATCATGTGTTTTTTCTTATTCTGTTATGACACCTATCATGATTCCATGCATCGAATGCCTTTACATCGCCGCAACTACATCAACAACAAACAACAACAAACAACGAAACGAGAATCCGCTAGCATTCACGGAGTACGATTAGATTTTTTTATTTTTTTTACTGCTTTGATTTATCAGTATTGACATTAGACGACAACCAAAAAAAAAGAATGTACAGAAATGATATGATCAAACCGCAAAGTTCGACTTTTTCTTTTCTCTCTCATTATCTCTAGCTCGTTTCGTTGATAGCAAGCAGGGGTGACGGTTCGAGGGAGTTCATTTCTGATCGCTCTGCTAGTTGCGGCTGCTTGGGTCGCATCTTGGGCAGCAATCGATGCTTCCCGTCGAATGCGCTAACCGCAGCGGCCCGCATCGTCATGCAGAGTGTGATTCACGATCCTTCACCAGCTGGCCGGGCCAAAGGTCTGATTCTCCCCCACCGTCTTCAAAATGGCGCCATAGGTGGAGTCCTGCATGCGAGGCACGGTCAGTTCATAATGAGCTCTCCATGGAGGGGACTGACAGCAATGCGTCACAATCATGGGGTCAGCACGGCGATGCGCCTATCGGAACTTACCAAGGTGTTGTAAACATCGACGTTTCCCCACCACTGCGGTATCGTGACGTTGGGGAGCGTGATCGCAAAGAAGATAACGATCGTACTGATAATGAGACCCGCGTCCAGCGCAGCGGCGGTGATGTAATTGTACGTCTGCCACCAACCGCGGAACCTCTTACGGATGCCATGGTTGAATATGAGGCCGACAATGGCCCAGCTCGAGAAGCTCAAGGGCGTTGCTGGTGGCAGCCATCCCATGGCGCCCAGCATGACTGGTGCATGGAGCGTCTTGGCGAACTTGAGATTGAGAACCTTGGCCAGCACATAGAATACAATGGGCAAGCATGCTCCGATGAGCCAGAATATGTTGAAGTATTGGTAGATGGAGCCGGCACCGAACATTCTTTGCGGGCCGATCACACCCCAGACGATGGAAGAAGAGAAGAATGCTCTCCCGTTTGGGCAGGTAAAGTGAGCATGCTGCGTCCTATTAACAAGTTAGGATGGGGGCTTCAACTTATCACTGAGACCAATATGTGGCAACTTACAGTGCGCAGCAGTCCTCAATGTTACCCAGCGTCCAATTCATTACCGCAATCTGCACGAAGACGGCCCATATTGTGGCCACTACTTGGCACCAGAAGGTGATGCGGGGTGGAATCTTCATGTAATGGGCCATCTTCAGGTCGCCGGTGTACGTCTGCGCCTGGCCAAGAGTGATGGTACTGTATACCTTGAAGATCATGACGCCAATCGGCTTCCCCGGAATCATGAAGCCTGCCAAGAAGGGAGACAAGACATTCAGGGCGAGACCTAGGTTGGAGATGGCCAGAATGGTACAAGTCGGGAGGACGAAAATCATGGCTAGCAAGTTGGCAACGAAAAACGCCCACCATGGGAGTTGAGAGTCGTAGCCCTCCGCGGTGGCAAGTCCAAGCCCGATCGCTACGACGAGCAGGGCGGCGTACCACCACTCCGGCGCGTCGCGGTACTTCCGCATCAACTTCAAGTGAATGTCTGCTTCCTGGTTGCGGGCGGCCTTGAGCCGGTACCAGATCTCCTTGCCATGGAAGAACACGCAGTGGACGATCGCCGCGGTGAGGGCCGCAAATGACAGGCCGTAGTTGAGGGCGAAGGTGGGCGGCAAGAAGAGGGGGGAGTACTCCTTGTACTTGTTGACGTCGAAGGTGTGCCCCGGACCCAAGATCTTGCTGACGTTGTAACGGCCCTGCGCATTATCGTATGTTTGCGATGTGTTGATGGGCAAGTATTCCGCGAAGAGTGCGCCCGAGTATGCGATGCCAATTGTTGGAATGATGATGAAGATGAAGAGTCCAATCAGCACGTTGATGTGCGTATGCGTCGGCGAAAGCAGAGGGTCTCCTAGATACGCAGATACGTACGTCCAGTCAAAAGTGATTGGGATCAGAGAAAGACCCGTGAACCCCCCAAATAGTTGGTTCACTACGATGTTGTTCGGCCTGATCCAAGTGACGAAGGCAAAAACGGATAGGCCCTGCCAGAGCACGCCGGGAATCCAGTAGTAGCAAAACATTGCGCCAAGAACGTAAAAGAAGTATCGGTAGCGGCTGATGATCCAGCCATTGCTGCGGGTGCCGTCGCTCTTGCTCTTGTCGTGAAGAGCATAAAACAGAGATGTGTTGGCGAACTGGTTCGGCCAGATCATAGCTGATGGCCACACAAGGAACCGTCGACACAGGCCGGCAATGCCAATCCCGATAAGCTGGGAGCTCAGAGTGAAGAGAAGTTGGAAGCCCCATCCCATGTTGATGTCGTAGAAAGGCTTGCCCTGCAGCGCGAGGAGGGCGTCGGTGCTGTACGCGTAGCCAATGGAGACGTTGGACATGAGGGTGATGACGACGTGCTCTTTAATCGTGAAAGGCCCGGGATTAAAGGTCCATGGGACGCCAAAGGCGTTAAAAACCTTGGTTGGCATAACCTTGGCCCATAGGCAGCCAATCGGGTACACCAGTAACTGGACGACGATGGATGGGAAGTTGATGGCAGGACTCCTGTAGGTACACGATTAACGAAAGATGTCCTACATTATTTGGTTCATTCTTCCAGCGTACCTCATACTGAGAAACATATTGAGACCACTGCCGATTGTCACAAAGATCATGCCCAGGATCCAAGCCCGAACTGTGTTCGCGACCTCCTCGCCATCAGTATTGCGGACGGCAGCGCGTACCTCCTCGTAAGGTGAGTCCTCGTCCAGGGCAAAATCGCCGACAACTACCTCAGCTGCGTCTCCGTTTTGACGGGGCTTCTCGGCCATATCGCCTCTTTCTTGGGAGAGGTCGGGGCTCCATTGGTGATCTTGCTGGAAGGTCCCTAGGTCTGTCGCCGCCTGAGCAACGTGTGCGCCATGCTTATTATCGCCCGCCATACTGACGAGTTGGTGACTGTGCCTCAGCTGTAATCTTTCCGTCACTTATTGAGGTCAGTACATCTCATCGGCGCAGTAACGACGGGATTTCTCGAATCACGAGGCGTTGGGAGCCGGTGGGTGAGGCACAGCGGAAAGGCGAGCTCGATATATCAAGTAATAGCTGAACTCTATTTCAGAAGTCATCTCAAGAAAGAACACTAATAAGCCACCTATTTTCGTGATGCGGTTACCGGGATATCCCACCGTAACGTACCCCAGTCTTCTGTTATCGAAACTTACTCCGCTACGCGTCCGTTGGTTTGCGTTATCTAGACCCAAATTTGGGGGCAAAGTTCCCGGAAAGGGGGGGTAAAACTTGAGGTGGAACCTTGCCCGCTTATCGTCCTGACAAGCATGTCTTGTCCCGACGCGGCAACGCTTGATCATCTTGTGGGTGTCGAGCTCAAATCCCTTCGCTGATATCGGGCTACGTTGCAATCGCGTAACGGCGCCGGCTCCAATGAGCCTTTTCTACCCCGCCTAAAGATAAGGTGGCATTGGAAGAACCGAAGAACGAACTGCCTAACTGGTTCTTCAGGCGACAGGGAAGTAACGTTTGACCACAGAAGATACGGAGGCTAGATAAGTCGGGAGTGTTGCCGCGGGTCGTCATCCGGTGGGCAGGGATAACCGAATCAAAACTCCGAGCTTCGCCGGGATTACTGCAGGGGGATGAACCGCTTGTTCTATCCGAGTGCTTCCAGTTAGGTCGCGGTTGAGGGAAGTGAAGCGATAAGTTTCGTCATCTGACGGCTCGATAGTCACATATCCGTACGTAAACCAGCTGCAGTCTCCCAAGGATGCCGTCATGATGGCTTTGCCTGTATATACAAGGAAATGACTTGGGTCCGGATAATGCTACTAGAGATTTTTATAGTAAATTGTTCAGGTTGACATTGTGCTGCAGCTCGAAAGAATCCGAATACTCAAAGTTGGAGAGCACATGATAGATAGGGTAAATTGGGAGCTGACAACAGCAGGGACCATCCTCAAAGTTTCACTTCTTTTGAGCCTCCAAAACCTTCCTCAATTTTACATCTCGCTCTTGGAATTGCTCAGGAGTGGGCATGCCATATGCCTCAATGGTTTGTTCCACGATCTTCTTCTCCCAACCTCCATCTTCGTCTCTCTGGGATGGCTCTTTGCTTCTTTCAGCAAACCTTACAGGTTCCGAACTATCCCAAATGTTTTGTATGGTGCCTGAAAGATTGTTCAAAAAAGCTTCTATTCCAGCAACACCGCCGCCTTGATTATAGGACTTGAAAACACCCTGAACGGCCCATCGAGGTCCTAGACTCGCCTCCATTATTGTGTCTAGGTCTTTCGCGCTGACCACGTCTTGCTGAACCAGAGAGCATGCTTCTCTCAGAAGCGCAAAAGCCAGGCGGTTACCTACGAACCCGGGCAGCTCTTTGTGAATCACCACCGGGCGATGACCGGAACCCAGTTCAGTAAAGAATCTCTTGGCAAAATCAACCTCTTTGGGGCTGGTCGTCGGAGAAGGAACGATCTCCAGCAATGGCAGTATATGTGGCGGGTTGAATGGATGAACGACAAGCAGACGAGTCTTGTCGATCATGTCTTGGTTCTGTAGTGAGGCGGCGATGCCGGAAGTTGAGCTCCAGAAATGGGCATTGATAGGCGATGCGCTTTCAATTCTGGGCCAGATGGACCGCTTGAAACTCAAGTTCTCGGGTCCTTGCTCCTGAACAATGGTAGCGCTATGACATGCTTCTTCGAGTGTGGAGAAAATCTTGAGGCGCCCGGATTCTCGGAGATGCGACATTCCTAATGAGGTGTCATCAGAGTCGACGTAACCAGGCAGTACGGATGAGAGATGCGTCTCTAGATCAGGCCGAGTATCATATACGCTGACACTGTATTCCGTGTAACGAAGGTAGAGGGCCGCGAATGAGATGCCGATGGCTCCCAGACCAATGAGAGCCACCTGTTCTGTCGGGCTTTCGGGCATAGCTGGGGAGGGCTGCGAAGCTATCAAAGAGAAGATGGAACTGTTTATGATGTGTGGTTGGCAAGTTCGTTGTCCCGCCCAGCATAAAGAGTGATATTACGGCAAGGAAGATGTGTGCCTTGGGAGATTATCAGGTAAGGAATATACGAGACCCTCGGTTGATGGAAAGATGAGTTCGATCCCCCACGGAATTCCGACTAGTCCAGTGTTTTGGCCGTAGGTACCCCCTCACCCTTTGTGCATGTGTGGGGTAGACTGCCCATCCCCAGACCGATGTGTTGGCTATGCATTTAATGTCAACTCGAAAGCAAATATCCAATATTACAAACAATCATGGGAATGGTTAGATTTGTGTTTTTTGCACCTGGGAACACCATTCATTGCGCTTGCCTCGCACACGATTTTCTCGGCTCAGTCTGGTAATATTGATGGCGGAGTGTCGTCTGTTACCGTCATGGAGCTACGGGCCACCGGAATACTTATGCAAGCTTCGACTATGTATCCGTGGTTGCATTGTTCCTTTTGCTACGCTGACGCCTAAACGTGGGGAAATATGGTTCGGAAATAGTGAGCACTTTGTGTTGCATCTCAACTGAAATCATTGATTTTCCATCGTGTGTAGAGACGCAAGACATTGATTCGTTCAGCATGTGCCATTAAGACAATTAGACTCTGACTACGTTGAATTTTTGAGCTCATAATGGATGGCTGAGTATAGAGGAGTTTGTTTTGCGATCAAAGGCTGGAGTCAATCCACACAATACTGGCGCACGTATACCGATGCTGTTTTTGGTAAGTCAAAGCACCCACTTTCCGATCACCCCCACATTGCGATCACCTAAAAACATTGCTATTATAATAACCACTACCTTATTTAATTGACTACTAACATTATCTAGATGCTATAATAATATAACTTTTAGCCTTACTAGGTAATTTAGATGCACTAGATTTATCTATATTACTTTTAACCTTGCCTACCTTTATCTAGGCTTACTGCACTTCTTTAATTATTATAAACTTTATGTTAGTATCTATATAAATAGCCTTCTGTTTCCTAGATATACTGTTAGTAACCTAGGCTTCTAGAAGGCTAATTTTTTACTAAGTAATAGCTAGCTTATAGGACTTTTCTTAGAAGCCTTTTTTAACCTTTTTAAATAGTTAGCGTTATATAGTAATATTTTATTCTAGTTAGCTAAAGAGCTATAGTTAGTCCCTAAGGTCTTTTATCTTCCTTAGTATAGACTACTTTACTATAGATAAGGCTAATGCCTATCTCTTTATATTATAGGTATCTTAGGCTATATAGGTATCTCTAGTAGCTACTTTAAGTAGTATTAATAGTATTATTAATAATAATGTTGCCTTTTAAACTAGTAGCTTATTTATAAGTGGCTTTATAGTACTAATAAGCTATAACCTAGTGTATTTCTAGCTACTCTTAATATTACTAATAGTTAGACTAGCTAGGTAAGCCTTTTAATAGTAAGAAAAGAAGTTCCTTTTACCTACAACAGTAGAGTTAATTTACTAACTAAGATATTTAAGCTTCTTCTAATATACTGCCTTAATAAGGCTAAAGACTAACTAGTTAAGTAGCTAGAGAATATAGGAGGTATATAGTAGTAAGAATAATAAATAGACATTATTAGTATAGTATATTTATATAAAATCTATTATTATATAGCTCTTATACTTATCTAAGATAAGTAGTCTAGCCTAATTAGGTTAAAAGGGCTTAGTCTAAGGGAGAAAGACCTTTTATAACTATTTAATAGTAGTATTAGAATAGGGTAGGATTTTAGGTTTTTCTTTAAGTAGTTTTTACAAGTGTTTTTCTAGTTAGTAAAGCCTTAATTATCCTAATTAGGACGTTAAATACTAATTAAGACTAACAAGATAAATAGAACATAGAATTTAACACTTATAAGTTAACCTTTACCTTTAACTATAACTTTATTATTATAGTAATATAACTAATCCTAGATATTCTTTTAATCTTATACGCCTAATTAGGCCTTTTTAGCTTAATTAAGTACTCTACCTACCTTATAACTATATAATTAAATAACAAGACCTTTTATATATAGTTTTATACTACTTAGTAATAATAGTATTACTAACTAAGTTTAACTGCTAACTAGAGATAGACGTTTAATTAATAAACCTTAGCCTTAATTAGACTAAGGTCTATTAATTAACGTTATTATTATTCTTAGATAAGGGTTAGTAAGTTACCTTTGTGTTTATAGGCACTTAAAGTGCACTAGTAATAAGACCTTTAGGTAGAGTTATTTAGATTAGTTATATATATACTAGTTATCCTACTGCCTTATATATTAATATCTTACTTAGTTTTAATAGTACCTTATAGTAGAATTAAACTACTAATCTTCTTATTACTAATATAGTAGTAACCTTTTTTATAATAAAATAATAACTAAATAATAAAAACTAATATAAGAATAATAAGAACTAACTAGACTAGAATAAAAAGAATAAAATTAACCTAATTAGATATATAAGTATATATTTAACCTTAAAAAAGACCTAACTAAATAAAAGATAAAGAAAGTAAGAATTAGTACTATCTACTAGTAGTATAAAAGATAAGACTAAGAATCCTATACGCTAGCCTTTTTCTTTCCCTAATTAGGGAAAACTACTTACTATTACAGAAGATAGTAAAGAATAAAGATAGTAAAAACTAGACTTAAAATATAAAAACACTAAGGATAATAACTATATTACTAGGAACCTACCTTCTTAGACTAAGGTATAATACCTTAATAACCTTTATATTAACTAAATCTTTCTTTATTATATAATTTTATAAAACTATTAGCCTAATTAGGTTAAAACTAATCTCTACCTATAGAGAATAGTATTTTATAATTAATAGGACTATAATAAAGAAGTATATATAGGCCTTTAGCCTTAATCTTAGCCTTATTTACACTAAGCTTTACTAGGAGATATAGTAATAGGTAAAGCTTTATACTTAGAAGGCATTATATAATACTCTTGTTACCTTAATTAAAGTTACTCCTCTTTAGAAATAATAATATTAGCTTTTAGTAGTACTTAATATTTATTCTTCCTATAAAGACTCTTTACTAGTTATTAGAATAAGGTAGGATTTTAGGTTTTTCTTTAAGTAGTTTTTATAAGTGTTTTTCTAGCTAGTAGAGCCTTAATTATCCTAATTAAGACATTAAATACTAATTAAGACTAACAAGATAAATAGAATATAGAATTTAATACCTATAAGTTAACTTCTACCTTTAACTATAACTTTATTATAATAGTAATATAACTAATCCTAGATATTCTTTTAATCTTAGACACCTAATTAGGCCTTTTTAGCCTAATTAAGTACTTTACTTACCTTATAACTATATAACTAAATAATAAGACCTTTTATATATAGTTCTATATTACTTAGTAATAATAGTATTATTAACTAAGTTTAACTACTAACTAGAGATAGATGTTTAATTAATAAACTATAGCCTTAATTAGACTAAGGTCTATTAATTAACGTTATTATCTTCTTAGATAAGGGTTAGTAAGTTACCTTTATATTTATAGGCGCTTAAGGTACACTAGTAATAAGACCTTTAGGTAGAGTTATTTAGATTAGTTATATATATACTAGTTATTCTACTACCTTATATATTAATATCCTACTTAGTTTTAATAGTGCCTTATAGTAGAATTAAACTACTAATCTTCTTATTACTAAATAAGATAGTAACCTTTTCTTATAATAAAATAATAACTAAACAACAAGAACTAATATAAGAATAATAAGAACTAACTAGACTAAAAAGAAAAAATAGAACTAACCTAATTAGATATATAAGTATATATTTAACCTTAAAAAAGACCTAACTAAATAAAAGATAAAAAAAGTAAAAATTAGTACTATTTACTAGTAGTATAAGAGATAAGACTAAGAATCCTATGCACTAGCCTTCCTTTCTTTCTAATTAGGAAAGCTACTTACTATTATAAGAGATAGTAAAAAATAAAGACAGTAAAAACTAGACTTAAATATAGAAACACTAAGGATAATAACTATATTACTAGGAACTAGCCTTCTTAGACTAAGGTATAATACCTTAATAACCTTTATACTAACTAAATCTTTTTTATTATATAATTTTATAGAACTATTAGCCTAATTAGGTTAAAACTAATCTTTACTTATAAAGAATAGTGTTTTATAATTAATAGGACTATAATAAAGAAGTATATATAGGCCTTTAGCCTTAATCTTAGCCTTATTTATACTAAGCTTTACTAGGAGATATAGTAATAAGTAAAGCTTTATACTTAAAAGGCATTATATAACACTTTTATTACTTAATTAAAGTTACTTCTCTTTAGAAATAATAATATTAGCTTTTAGTAGTACTTAATATTTATTCTTTTTATAAAGACTTTTTACTAGTTATATACTACTATTCTTTAGTTACTAAGATGCCTAATACTACCTTATTAGTCTTAATCTTTAACTTTAACCTAAATATATCTAATTAGACTATTCTTAGCCTTAGTAAGTCCTTCTAGGGATACTATAAGACCTAGGTGCTTAACTTTAATTTAAACCTAGGGCAAGTAAAAGACTTTAGTACTATAGCCTTTTTAAAGATATAAAAAAAAAAAAGAAAAAAAAGGTAAATAGTCTAACTATTTTAATTAGGCTAATAAGACTTCTCTAATAACTATTAGTTAAATACCTCTTAAAGATAGCTTATCTTTACTATATATAACTATTATACTTAGTAAGATATAATAACTAAGCTAGTTACTTTTACTACTACTAACTAAGAACGCCTTTAATATAGAACTAGAAGTCCTTATAGTCCTTAGCCTTATATATTTATTAAAATACTACCTCTTAGTTCCCTAAGAGTACTTACCTTTAATAGCTATAATATTACTTACTTCTTAGATAAGTATAAAGCTTTAGTAAAGTTAGCTAGTTACCTTAATTAAGAGAAGGTAACTACTTTACTATAGTATTTACCTAAAGAATACTAAGTAACTATTAAAAGTAAAGCTAGCACTTACACCTAGGCTTAGTTAAAGAATACCTCTTAGAAACCTATAGCCTACTTAATAAAGAAGTTATTTTTAACTTAACTACTATATTAAGGATTTACTTTAAGGCCCTTTAATTAAAGATAATAACCTAATAATAACTATAGAGCTATTCTAGAAAGTTAAAAGTATTTAAGAGAAGGCCTACGCTAAGTAAAG